CAAGTTTAAATGAAAATAGACGTTATATCACCAAACTTGAAAAACACAACCATTTTGTACGCTTTATTTATACTATTAATTTTCACGCAAAATTCTACAAAAAACTTTAAGCAGTAATGATAATCAAAAAATGAAATATTGACTTCCCATCAAAACTCCAAAAGAATAAAAATCATATAATGTCCTTATAAAAAACAGTATAGGTAGTTTTAAGAAAAAGGGATTCGTTATTGAATTATAGAATATTTTAATTATTATAAAAATAAGGAGATGTGATATGATTGCCAATGATGAGACAACTATCTATAATATTCTTAATAACGTAGATGTAAACAACTCTACTCTCTAGTTTGTGTATTCATACATAGATATAAGAAGATGTGGTATGAGTGCCAATGAGACAACTCTCCATCCAAGTAAAAATTTATAAAAGTAAACCATTATAGGTCACAGTACGGTCTTCAACACGGACATGCCTTTTGCTTGTCATTTATCATGAATATGTCTTGGTTATTTTGCCACAAAACTTATATTATAAGAATAAGAAAATATAAGCTTTATAATAGAAAAACAAAGGATATGGGGTATCCATCCATGACACAAAATAAGTACATGCACAGGAAAAACCTAAGAAAGCAAAGGAACAGTGCTTTTATTGCTGTTCTTCATCTCAAAGTCACAGTGAGGACTTCAACACGGAGCAAAAACCCCTCACCTCAATGCAAGTTTAAGACGGCCCCTAGCACGAGAATATATATGTTTATTTATATGAAAATAAAGATGCTCCTTTGAAACAAACCAATAATTTCTTGGGATAAATACTTCCAAGTTTAGTTATAGGACTTGTGTGTAATCCATTTTGCTTTAATTTATAGTAAATAAAACATGTTTAAAATACAGGACGATGACATTCTAAATTAATAACTCCTAAATTACAGAATTTCTGAGACTTTTCCGCACTTAGAAGCAGTGCACCTCCTATAACATCTGTTATATCTAAATGTGTTTAAGTATTAAAACTTTTAGTTTGCTTAACTAGTTTTGGGAGTGGTTATCCACAAACGCAACCTCTCCTAAAACAGTGACTGGATCGATGTTAGAGAACTTTAAGTGCTTTTTGTCATCATGCTTTTTCTTCTTGTTGTTGATTTTTTCTTGATGTTTTTCGGAGTTATCTTTGAGGTAACCCATACAAAACATTTTTAAAAAACGTGTTTGTTTGTTTTGGTCTATGCATAAGGACTATAAGGTATACAAAAAACTCATCAAAGATACCAGTCATATAATTTCGTACGCAAGACCGGCATTTCATCTACATAAGACTCGCCAGTGGCACTCGAATTAAAACAATTAGAAGGCAAAAACAAATACGAATTGGAAGAGCTTTGCCCGACTGTGCGAATTTTGAGGCCCCTCATGGGGGTGTCCAAGTAATCACATAATCACAAATTTTTTGCCAATATAAACTCATAATCATTAATTATTTTTTTAAACAAGATAATCAAATAATCAAAAATACAGTCCTAGATTATCAAATAATCAAATAATCATGAAATATTTGGTCTGGTAATCAAATAATCACTATAAAAACGGCCAAGTAATGACATAGTCAAAAACCCCATTAGGAGGCTCATTTTTATTAAGATTTTATTTTTCAAACTTGGTTTTCGATAAAAAAAAATGTATACTGTTTTATATTCAGATGAATGCAACTACTCCATTTACTAACTAGAAAAAATATTTGTTGAAAACAAAATGTCAGATTGATTTTGAAACGTTGTTTTCGCACATAATATTTACTGAAAATTTGGAAGATCATTAATTTCTAATATCAACTACAATTTTCGTTCCCACAAGTTTTGGCTATCCTTCGGTATTTATTTGGTTCAAAGGAAATACAGCGTCATCATCATGAAAAAGAAGTGCGGGAATCGGTGTCGTACTAGGATGAACTGTAATCTATCCGTTATTCCTGCCAGCGGTAGCTCCTAATGTTTTAACCATCTGGTTGCACAAGCATTTTGTACTCGATATTCAAACTTTGCCTGTCAATAAGATATCTTCGTTATCAAACACTCAGATATTTTTTGGTAATTAAATTGTTCAAATGATTTTTGAAGATGTGAAAGTTGCACGTTTTGGCTAATCTTCTATATGATATTTTGAAATATTAAACTGACAGATAAGTAAAGATTTTTTGAATTTAAAAAGTTTTATAATTCATATAAAAAAATTAACATATACTTGATCTTGGCATAGAATGCACTGCAATGGCCATGTCGTTTATTTTTTATTATTTAATTTTATTGATACCATTATGTCTCCTTTTTTATATGAATATATACCAAATTACAGCAAATTTTGTCGCAAAATATGTTTTATATGTGAAAAAGTATAAATAAAAACGTACAATAGTTGTACGGTGAAAGAATGAACCTTTCTTCTTAGAAGGAAAAAAATAAAGATATTTTTCCCTATTGATAAAATGTCATTTTTTTTTTTGCATTCTTATCGCTGTATTCCTAACCAATTTCTCCGACTGCATTTTTGAAAATCCTATACCCTTGGAAATGATTAAAATGCACAAATAGAACAAATGAAAATTATAAAAATCATAAATATTTGTTTACATTTATCTACAAACTGTTTGAAAATATTTCAAGTTACACGTTGTATCATTAGCGGGGGAAGAAAGGAAGAAATAAGATGATAAGCGTAACCTATTTATATCGGGTTATTTGTTAGTACGAACATATATTTATAATGTATGGACCTAATAAAAATTCATGAAGGAGTTGATTGGGGTTATCTCATAATTTTAAGGTTAAATGCAGTTTAATTACATTAAAACATGTACCTCAGTAAATATAGGGTTGCAAAGGAAACTTTACTGTTCAGCTCAAACTTTTGTATATTAATATTTTCTTACCAACTTACTAAATAAACCCCAAAAAATCATATATTTGAACATTGAAGGTTATTAAAGTATTTAAATACAATTTTTGTTTCGTATTATATTGTGTTTATTTGTTATTCATCTGTCTGTCTGTCTGTCTTATCATGATCATGTTTATTTGTATTGAAATAATGCGTTTTATACTTATAAGTTATAAAATTCATGGCTACGAAAAATCAAAGTATGGAATATTGGAGTTTTCTGCGGAAAAAAATTATAAATGGAAGGAATTTAAACAAATTAGATTATTTTAAGCAAATATATTTGTTTAGTTTCGAACGAACGTTTTAAGTCTCCGTTTTGTTAAAAGGTTTAAAGACATATTTTTTAACCTCCCAAAAAATTGCATGTTCTTTTTTTTTATTGTTGTGAGACCCCAAAACGGCTTATTCAGTTGGGTTTTATCTAATTATAAAATTTACTTATTATGCTATTTTTAAAGTACGTGTCGACATAATTGATACAATATCGAATTTTGATTTCAATGGTGGCCTACATACATACATAGATTTTAAATCTTATTTGACAAAAAAAAAACTCTATGTATTACCAAGAGTGTGCAATGTGTATGCTATTTTAGTAACTAAATAAAGCGACTTATGTTTAAAAAAAATTTAAAATTCAAAGATAGTAGAAATAAAATGAAATGAAACGAAGAGAAATTTAATGAAAATAAAATTTACTATAACGTATAATACTATTTAACTTTATGTTTTTTATCATATGTAAGGATTGCAAACCGTCCGTAAAAAAGTCACGAATACATGTAACTTTCTAATATTTTATATCGAATGTAGTTTTGAACAAACATGCAGTAAATTACCCCCTACTATTTTTATTTACTTTAATATATATATATTTTTTTTAGATTCACATTTATTCAGAAATTTGCTTCTTAGTTTATCACAAAATTATATCTAAAATAAGAAACAGCGATTCCCTGTATACGTCTGCGACATGTTATGCTTTTGTGAATTGACAATTTTTCCAATGATAAAAATGAAATAATCGGGAACTTCTTACCTTTGTGATATATTTTCAATCCATTTTTTATTTCTAATTTTGACTTTGATACAACAGCACAAAATGGCAAAAAAACGAGAGATAAAAAACCGCTTTCCATGTATTGAAAACACTGAAAATTCGGAAACAGCCTAAACATCTAAATTATGTTTTAATCCACTAATTTATCACTGCAATTCTCTTGAAATAACAATGCACATAGACAGCAGAGAAGTGATTTATTTGTCCGGGTTTTTTTTTTCTCAAAAAACATGTACACATGCAGGTACAAATTATAAATGTTATTGTATTGGATCATCGCCACACCATAATCTGCGTAAGATTCAAATTGCACGACGATTCAATTAGAGGAATCCAAGTGTGCCGTTCCAGAACCTTCTCAAGTCAATTACCATACCAGGGCTTAATTCTGATGCTTTTCTCTTCATTTCGTTAATTGGAATTTAATTATTATTTTCGTCATATTGGTTATTTTAAAGAACCTTTAGATTTGTTCTTTCTCATATTGTCACGCACAGAAATGATAATTTCAATAAGGCGGTAAATTTTGATTTTGGGAATTTTTTCAATGATGCGTTTTTCATCATACAATTAAATAAAACAACCTGCAAAAAGGATTCTTCACCTTATGCAAAGTCTGTCATATGATTTTCAATTAAAAATTTGATTTCTTTTCTTAATTTCTTATTTCAAACAGATATAGTAAGTTTAATCGAGAAATCATGATTTATTGATAATGAAAGTATATAACGTTTCTATTGACTAAAATTCATTGGGGATGGAATTCTGACAATCCATAAATTAATTAATTTGTACAATTTTATTCATTTGAACATAAATATATTAATATATGGACGAGAGCAAAGACCTGCTGTTATTCGCTGGTAAAGCTGTAGTAGATTTTCATTAGCTCGGAACTATTTTCAGTGATCCGTAGGAGGAACTTAAGATTAGCATGATTGACACTAAAACAAGTAGCGACCAATCACCGTAAACTTATGATGTTATTTGAAGTTTGCGCCGGCCCATGGCCAATTTTCAACAGACCTAAAAGTCACAGTAATGCAACTAGTGACATACAAAACTGCAGACACTTGATTTACTGTGAGACGTTTTAAACTTTTAAAAATGAACGTTTTAAGTCGATAAATTTCGAGATTACCTTGTTCTATTAGCCCTTGAGAAGTTTTGGACAAGAAAAGACTTTTAACGAAAGATTAAAGCGAGCAGTTTTGATGCTTGAGTTATTGTCGCATCCATTAAATATGGGTAAGTTTATTATTTATTATTTAGGCTATTCAACTTTTTATGAATATGTATATATATATATATGTAAATTGATACTTCTTAATTAATTAATTACTTTAATAACAAGTTGTTTTTAGATGGTACAGAAATACCAGTACACATAGATGGCGATAGAGGTGCATCATGTTCAATTCTAAAAAAGAAAATAAACAAATCAAATGTCAAATAACATTCGAACGTGGACGTTTTACATTATGATTAATAACGACGAAGGATCAAATGTAAAATCGTTCGTTTAACAATTGAAAATTCATTAAGGATAAAAGAAAGATTTTATTGTTTTACGGTTCAAATGAACGTGTAAATGTGCCGTGAAAGAAAAGTTATGGTGATCAGACAGATTATCAACTGTATATTGATGGGAACAAGTGGCCTTAAATTTTATATCAAGTTTTGAACGATTGACCAAAGGCTATTGGAGATTATTATGAGGACTTCGTATCCCCTCTGGGGCCACAAAATCAAGATACTGTGGACCTTAATTGAATGTGACGGGAAATGTATCCTTCATCACGTCCAGTTATTTTGATGGCGATATCATTTGCCATTTTTCTTCGCATTATCAAAGATATTACATATCAGAATTACATACTTTGGGGGTGAAATACACGATTACTCGTTCTGATAAGGGTTATTTATTAGACATACAGAATTGTTAAAACAAGTATATAATTTGAAATAGATACCCAAAAAAATCCGGTAAACAGAGTTAGGCATAATTTTCTGACATATATATTTCTTGCAATTTGTAAAAATGTATTTTGTTTAGTTTGTGCATCCATTATAGAGATTACATTGTTTCTATTTCTTTAAATTGATTAAAATAAATATAGTATTTTGATTTCAGAGCAGTCATCTACCTTTGGTGAAGTGAACCAATTAGGGGGAGTATTTGTCAACGGTAGACCTCTCCCAAATGCAATAAGACTAAGAATTGTGGAGCTTGCTCAACTTGGAGTCCGTCCGTGTGATATAAGTAGACAATTGCGTGTTTCTCATGGATGTGTTAGTAAAATACTAGCTAGATATAATGAAACTGGTTCCATACTTCCAGGAGCAATAGGAGGGAGCAAACCAAGGGTGACAACTCCAAATGTAGTCAAACATATCAAAATCTATAAAGAAAGAGACCCTGGAATATTTGCTTGGGAAATACGAGACAAATTATTAGCAGACGGAGTTTGTGACAAATATAACGTTCCATCTGTAAGTTCCATCAGTAGAATATTGAGGAATAAAATTGGAAACACTTCTGGTAGTCCCGGACAACCGCAGCAATATGAAAACAAACCGCCACAACCGGTGGCATGCTCAGCTCCCGCTCCAATATACAATCAATTTTATCCGTATTCTTGTCCAGCACCCTCCATGCCACAAGTTCCACCACCACAAATGCAAAATCAACCACATACGATTGGACATTTTGCAACAAATAAACAACAACAAAATGCCGCTAGTTGTGTCACGCCGTGTATGATGCGGGCTTGGGCTGCATCTTCACATTCCGTCAATGACATTCTGGGCTTTAGGCCACCAGTGCCACAACAGATGCCACAAGTAATGCCACCTGATAATCAAATGATGACATCATTAGGACAAAATTATAATATGAATATGAATTATTATGGAATGAAACCAACAACCATGTCACCGATGTATTTACAAAGTTAACAATTTATGAGATATGAAAAAAGTGTAAGTTTGTTGATTTTAGATAGTAAAATAATGTGCCATATGAACTTCCTTTGTTTTTGGTTATTTTATTTTGAGGAATTTGAATTGCAGTGTCCTATTTGAACTACTATTCAAAATATAAATATATTTTTATTTTCAGTCTGAAAATCAACACTCGTTTTATTTCAGAGATTATCGTTTATCAACTTAATGTATTAAAATGATAACCTGAAGAGAAAATAGCCTCCAATTTCATGATAACATTTGAACGTATTTCGTAAGAAGAATATAAATTATTTTAGATAAATTTGCACTTTTGTTGCATATTTGAAAAAAAAATATGAAGATTAACAGAGGAATTTATTTATATAAATTATCACACGTACACAAATAAAAAGTTCAAATATCATTGCGTGAACACAAAGTAGTTGCAAGATATTTTTTAAAGTATATTTGTTAATGGAACGAGAGAGAAAAATCTTGGATCTATTAAAACGTCCTTTTTTTTTTCTTTTTTTTTTCATTTTTGATTTCACATGACATTTTCGAGATTAAATAATGCGTTTGTAAAAAACAGAAAATATTACTTTTGAATTTTCTTACCCAAATATTGATACTTTATTCTATACCGCAATATCAATAAAATTGTTTTGTACAATATTAAATTTATTAATTTTCTATTCAGAGTCTTCAGCGTTGTAAAGATCAAAGTTAGTAACAATAAGAATATAAATTTTGAGTACATGCAGAAAACGAATAATATTTATGTGAAATTCAAATGTTTTAAAATAACTATTTTAGATAATGTTCATGCACATGAAGCCGTACAATTTTATTATAAAAATACTTTTATAATAAGACACTGAAAGCTAATAAAATTAATTAGATAAATGATTGTGAAAAGGAAATTACATGCTTGAGAAATTAACGTACAACTAAGTGTCACATGAACATATTTGTAATTTATGCATGTTTAGATCATAATTATAATGGTATTATGCGAAATTTTTTTACCGGAAGTGTCATGAAATTCACGCCTCTAAAATTTGTAAACATTCACTTATATCAACCGACAATACGTCAAATAAAAAACTTGAATTATGAATACTTTTATAGCATATTACTTATTAAAACTAGCATTATGCTTATTAAGATATTATTGTTTTGTGCAATTTCTATACTTTCCCATTAATAAATCTCGACCAAATAAAAATTGACTTCTTAAAATATATATAAAATAAAGCAAAAATGAAACAGTTTTTATAAAATTTATTTTGAAAAAGTTATGGCCACTTTTTGCATTGTTTATTTCATTCACAGTGTCAGTGAAAGTTAAAGGAACCTATTTACTTTAATGTTAATACAAAAAGTCTAAATAAGATATATAATAACAGTTTTTCTTATATGCATTCAATATATTCAAATCTCATAAATTCGTCATTACAGTTAAAGCTGGTTCATGCAGATTTTATATAAGAGGCTCTGGACGGGGTTTACAGAATCATAAGAGAAAGTGCAGAATAAAGGGATAACACATTAAACAAAAACGGTTACCTATTCAACACTGTTATTGAATCTTTGAATATTGTTTTATTGAAATGAATATTGAATTTGTTATCAGGAACTTAAAACCATACTAAATATTACACATATGTACTTTCACGGTACTACAATCTGTCGATATCTATATTTCGGCATTACACAAGGTCATCTTTTTCTCCATTAATGACGTCTTTTTACTAAATCCATTGGATGTTGGATGTGTACTGATTGATATTTTAGTCTTAGATACATGATTTTTTATTAGTTGTTATTGGTTTTGAACTAGCTGTCAGTAACTGAGAGTAACTCTCAGATCTGTACTTAGTATCTTTTTGTTGTTAGGGATGATGGATGGATATATACCTTGCCACGTCCAGTCTGTGTTTTTGTTTGATGTTTTTTCTTTGTATCGATCTGATGAGTTAAGCCTTTTCAACTGATTTTTACAGTTTGTTCTTAAGTTGTGCTGTTACACCACTGTCCCAGGTTAGGGGAGGGTTAAACGCTCGCAAACATGTTTGACCCCGCCACATTCTTTATGTGCCGGTCCCAAGTCAGGAGCCTTTAGTTCAGTGGTTGTCTGTCATATTTGTTTTTCGTAAATTGTTTTGTTATAAATAAGGCCGTTAGTTTTCTTAATTGAATTGTTTCATATTTTTCATGTCGGGGCTCTAATAGCCGACTATATACGATGGTTTTTCTCATTATTGAAGGCCTTACTGTTGCCTATAATTGCTAACACCCATGTACTTTATTTGAACTTTGGTGGATAGTTGTCTTATTGGCATTCATACCACATCTCCTTATTTTTATGAAATAAGCCAAAAAATACAGAATACAGAGTAATGGGGTGTTAAAATATAAAGAAAAGAGAATATTGGACACAAAATATTCTTAAAGTTAAAGAATAAAGAAATGAAGAATCTCCCATCCAGACCCTCATATAACGATATTCATTTTCAAGTGAGTTTGTAGGACATTCAGAACATGAAAACACTTTTAACAGATAACTGTTTGGTTTAACTGTCCTTCCTGATTATTTTGGAAATACTAACTAAAATTTACCAAAAACTCTGCCATTATGAACAGTTTTTGCCAGCTTTGAGCATCTAGCATTTGTTTAAATGTCAAAATAAAATAATTTTTGTCAGCTTTGAGCATTTAGCATTTGTTTAAATGTTTACAGCTATGACTTTATGTTGTTTACACACACGAACTTGTATCACTATAATTTGAATTATAGATACAAAGTCTATAAAAATTACTTAGGTTGTAAAATTAATACAAAGGAAACAGTGCCTAACCACAGTAGAAGCATCTTTTTTTAATCAAAATTCTCCTCCCTGTATAATTTTCTCTTTTTAGATCTATCTTTCTCTTTTAATAACTTCTAAATAGATTTCATACAGCAACGCCAACAGTCTCCACAGCAACATGACTTTCGTCAGCGCCAAAACAATGCAAAGCAAATTTCTACATGGATATAATTCCAATGTAGAAAATAGATAAGTTCAACATTTCAGTCGTCATTCATGCTGTTTGAAAAGTCAAATCAGTTTTAATACCCACCCCAAAAAATATGACATGACATTTATATTGTTTGGATATTTGGTCGTCACAAATATAAATAAGAAGATGTGGTATGAGTGCCAATGAGACAACTATCCATCCAAATCACAATGTGTAAAAAGTAAACAATTATAGGTCAAAGGCTTTTTTTTCTTGTGAATGAGTCTTGAATTTTGTTCAATTATCAAGTCCAAGACAAAAGGTTCCTATTTTTGTATCGTTTAATATCATTATGTTAAGATTTTGTCTTTGGTAATTCATAATTTTAATATTAAAAAACATATGAAAATAAATTAAAAAAAACAACTTAATTCCACAGAGTTAAACATAATAGCCGAAATAAAGAAAGAACAATATAATGAGATGAATCAGTACAAGGATAAGTACGGGGTCGATAAATACAAGAATATAGTCTCATGAAACAGCACTTTTGTTGCTGTTCTTTATCTCCATTTTAATAAATTTATAAAAATTGTATTCAGTGAATCATAGTATTTTGTGAAAAACGGCTACTCCCTTTCTAAACAGCACCACAGTAGCAATGACTAATATTTGAAACTGGCGACTCTATAGCAACGCCTCTTTTCATACAAAATGCGACAAGAATATATTTTAGCTATAAAAAAAAACTCTTCAACAAGTTCGGAAACTTCAGACACATAAGGACATGCATTAAAAGAGATTATATAGCGCTGTAGAGATTTGTAACTGCCAAATGGGATAGTCACACACTAAAAATCAATTAATAAAAGTAAATCACTACAGCAATGCAGTCGAGTAGATTAAAGATCCTTAGTACTCTGTACTTTATTAAATAGTTGTCTTCTGATGTTGTTTTGTATTGTCTAGAGTGTATGTGTCTTATTTGCACAATACATACTTGTGTGGATACAGTAAAATGTATCGGCGTGTGTTAGGTGTATGCTCCTGTATTTTTGCCAGTTTTGGGTGTGTGAATGCAGTAGAATATTACTCAGTGCTTTGGGGGGAGGGAGGGGGTGTGCTCCTTTATTTTGGACTTAATATATTTATTAAGAATGTTCGAAGAATTTGATGTTGATTTCAGATCTTTAAAAGTCTGTTTAATTTATTCACAATTTGTTTTTAGATTCGGGATGATTTAGAAATTGAATTTATTGTATAGTCACAATTTATTGATATAGTATCCCTTTGGAATATTCCGCCACCCTTTCACCTGTATATTGAGGAAGACCGTATGTTGACCTGCAGATGTTTTTTTTTTCTTTTTTCTTTTAATGTTTTGCTGTATCATTGACATAAATACCCACATTCCTTTTTTTAAACCAAGTTGGTTTCCGTAACACGTTTTGAATCCCGACATTTATTTAAAGTTTACGAAAGTAATGTAGGACTTTTATTCTATTTGTATATGCAAATGACTTTTTCTTCGTAATTAGCATATAAGAAACTTGTTTAAACAAAATAATTTAAAAATTTGAAGCAAAGACATCAAACTTGCTTCTAAAATAGTAAAGTTATAAGGTAAAAAAAAAAAGCTTCATGGAAAGATTATTTTTTTTGTTGCAAACTATTGTGTTTATTAAAATACACTCAATGCAAAAAGACGAAAAGTTCAAATACAGTCAAACCTCGTTGTGTCGAAGTCGAAGGGACCGGACCAAAGTATTCGACACATCCGAGGTTCGACTCATCCGAGGTCGAGTGTGTCGTCATAAATTTGGAATGCATGAAATACGGTATGAGATTTGTGTAAACTAGATACAATGAACAGTGTGCCTTTTTTCGATATGACACTTTATGATTTTGTATTCAATCGCCATTTTTGGTAATTCATAATAATTAAACACACAAGTACATGCACAAATAAAATCAATAGTCTACACAAATATTTACAAAGGTCAGTCACTATAAATTATGAAATCACTCGA